CAGTCCTGGGAAGGTCACTGCTGGGCCACAGGCAGACCAGGCCCTCCAAGAATAGATTAGCAAACAAGTTCAGACACTTGCTGGCTATGTGACTTTACAAAAATCACAATTAAATGTCTTCTCATGAGTGCCCATTTTCGTAAAATTAATTTTAATGAAAGTTTACAGAGACTTAGGGTTTCCAGTCATTTACTGTTGCACTTTTTTCCTTGCTCACCCCTTCCCTCCCAGTTAACTCTTCCTATTGAAAAGTAAAACTCTTTCATTGTTATGCAATTCCTCCCCCCAAGTTCACTCCACTATGCAGCCTTCACTCTGGACTTCTGTAATGACAAGAATACCCATTCATACATCCCTTTTAAACAGTTCTCTCCCTCATCTGTTTCAATGCAATATACATCATTCCTCCCCTCCTTTTCTATCTTCCCTCAACCCCGACATCAGTCCCATTTTACAAGACTGGCCCTATGCAATATTTGTCCTTTTATGACTGAGATATTTCACTCAGTATAATGTCTTTCAGGAGCACCCATTTTGCATAATATTGTATGAGTTCCTTGTTTTTCAATGCAGCATAACATTCCATTCTGTGAATATACCAGACCTTCTCTAGCCGTTTGTTTGTTGATAGGCACTTGGGTTGTTTCCAACTCTTTGCTATTGTGAACAAAGCTGCAATAAACATGGGTGTGCATATATCTGCTTGGGTGGCAGTTATGGTTTCTTTGGGGTAAATTCCCAGTAGTGGAAGTGCTGGGTCAAATGGTATTTCTATTTGCTACTTTTTGAGAAAGCACCATACTGCCTTCCACAGTGGTTGCACCATTTTACGCTCCCACCAACAGTGAATAAGGGTTCCAGTTTCTCCGCAACCTCTCCAGCATTTGATATTTGCTATTCTGTTAAATTTTGCTACTCTTACTGTGGTGAGATGCTATCTCATAGTTGTTTTGATTTGCATCTCTCTTCATCTCTCTTGCACATTTCTTCATGTCTTTGTTTGCCATCTGAATCTTAATGTCTTCTTTGGTGAAGTGTCTGTTCATATCCTGTGCCAATTTTTCAACTGTGTTATTTACCTTTATCTTGTTGTGGTGATCAAGTATTTTATAAATTCTAGATATAAGTCCCTTGCCAGAGATGTTATTACCAAATACTTTTCCCCAGTCTGTGGCTTCCCTTTTTACCCTGCTGGAGAAGTTTTTGGAAGTGCATAGGGATTTGATTCTTACCCCCCCCCCCCCCGTATAGCCCAAATGCACATCCTTTATTGATTTTAAAACATGTAGTATTCCCTTTCTCTGTTCAGACAACAATGTCTTGGTCTAGGTTTGATATGAGGACAATAAAGTGTTCTAGGATTCTTCTTCTTCTTTTTTTAAAAAAAATTTAATAACTTCAATGAACATTTAGAGATTTTGGATTTCCATTCATTCATTGCTGCACTTCTCTCCCTACCCAGCCCTCCCCCCAGATTTGATTCTTAGAAGGTCCCATTCACCTATTTTATCCTCTCCTGTTTGTAGATTTTCCAGGATGCTTGGAAGACTGTTTAGGATGTGGATTAGGACTTCTAAAGTTCTTCCAAGTTTTTCTTTAATGAAGTTTATAGTCCTTGGTTTTAGTCCTAGGTCCATAATCCATTTTGAATTGGTTTTTGTGTATGGGGTAAGGTGTGGATGAGTGCCCAGTTTTTGACACTATTGTTTCCTTTACTTTTCTAAGCTCTTAAACCTTTGTGATAGATATTATGATGGGGATTTCTCCCCTAATAAAGTTATATGTATATTTGTACATAATACTCTCAAAAAATCCAATTCATTGTCATTGAGTCAGAACCAACTCACAGCTGATCCTTCAGAGGTTCTAGAAATTGTAAATTGCACAGTTCAATACATAGATATATTTACATAGACAGATAAGAGTTCTGGTGGCCTAGCGGTAAGGAGCTGTGCTGTAATCCCGAAGGTACACAGTTCAATTCCATCAGCTGCTCAAAGGGAGGAAGATGGGCAATCTCCCCCCCGTGTGATTAAACTGCCTCTGAAAACCTGCTGGAGTCAGCTCTGGATCAGTTCCCACTTGATGGAACACAACAACAAACATCTTTTTCTCCTTTATATATAAAGTTCATATATATAAGGAAACGGACTCCTTTAGTCCCAGCCAAACTTCATGATGAAATCCCGGCTGACATGCTGACCATCTCACAGGAGAAAGTCAGAATCCAGCCATTAAGCCATTCTCACATCCTAGCCACAGGGTACTGAGAAAATCAGTGTTTATTAAGTAAAAAAATCTTGGAGTAACTTGTTAATAATAATAGATGAGCAATATATCCTCTATTTAGTGAGTATGTTAGGCTTGAATGTGATAATTGTTATCCCTTGTTGCTCAGTGCTCTTTCTATTCTGGTTCTTGTTGATAGTTCTGGTAACTGAAGATGTTAGGTGCAATCTCGTGAGGTTTATACATATATCTCAAGATACACACACACACACACACACACACACACACACACACACACACACACACATACACAGAGCTCAGGTGGCCTACTGTACTGGGTTAGCAGGTGCCCTGAAAACCCAAAGGCAGGTGGTTCAAATCCACCTGTTGTTTCATGGGAGAAAGATTGGCAATCTCCTCCCATGTGATTTTTCAGCCTCTTAAACTTTCTGTAGGTTCAGCTATGGGTTGGTTCCAACTTGATGGCACATAACATACATATAAACTAATATTGTACCATTTGCTTTCTGAGTAAGACACATGAGGGAATATACAGGTTTTAGGGACTGTTGTGTTCATTAAGATCTGGTTTCTCTTGCTTTGCTATGTATTGAGTCATCTCATTTAGGAGTGGGTCAGCCTCTGGGAAAACCACCTGATTGTAAAGTAGAACAAAATATATTACAGCAAAGACAAAAAAGGCTGTCATTTCTTAACATACTTAATCTCTGTGAACGGCCTCTCGCCTGTAAAATGGTGCTAACAGTTTCCACATTATAAAGCTTTAGGAACTAATATTTATAAAATTCTTAGTACTTCACAGTGATTAGTAAATATCAGTCACTAATATTATTATTTCTAGGATTGACTGACTTTTTTCAGCCTCCTAAGCTAGAACCTTAACTCCTTCTTCTCCCTTGCTCTGTATTTCAACCTCCTAAGTAATACTGAATCAGTCCCATTTTCCTACCCTGTACTCTGCCGCAGTCACTTACTCTCCTTCTCCAAGCCCTTATCATTTCTTGCTGAGTTCAATCCCACAGGCCTCTAGTTCAGCCTCTTCACACAGTCCCTATGCTGCTGTCAGGGTACCTTTGAAAGAGATGGCTTGAAGCGCTGGAATCACTTGGAGAGGGGAGGAAGAAAATTGTTAAAAATAAGACTCCTGGATACTCCTCCAGGGCCCCACTGTAATAGCCTTTGAAATTATTGTCTCAGAGCAGAGGATTCCTGCAGTCAGGGAGAAGATCAGATGAAGTCTCAAACTATACATTCTGTAGGCTCAGTAGACCCTGCCAGTAAGACACCTGTCCCCTTTAGCCTTTTCTTCTTCCTCACTTCTGTGACCCCATTTTCTATTTCTGGGGATGCAGTCAAAACACAGGGATTTCATCTACAGAAAATGATGCCAACAAAAATCCACCTATGTACTGGAGGTGCCATCTGTGGATTCTCCCTAGGAGACACACCACATTTAACCTTTGTAAATGAGGCTCAAGTGTGCATATTCTGTACAAACAGAAACATAAGGAATGAGGGATGTATTAGAATAGCAGTTGTACAAGTGTTAAAAAAAAAAAAAAAAGGAAGCAAACTCACTGCCACCCAAATAGTTCTGACTTACAGCGACCTCACATGCTAGGGGTTTTTACCGGCAGTGATTTTTATGGGAGCAGAGGGCCTGGATTTCCTCCCCAGTACAGCTAGGTGGTTTTGAATCACCAGACTTGAGGTTATGTGCCTTTGAGTCAGAGCCTGCCCATAGCTGACAGTTCAGTGGCTTTTTCAGAGGCTGTAAACTGCATGGGAGATTGCCCATCCTTCTCCTTCACGGCCATCAGAGCGGACCATATCAAATAACCTAAGATGTCCCAGGGGCACATTAGCTCTAAAAGAAAGCACTCAGAAGAAAAGGAGGTGTACTCAGGAACAGAAATTCAAAGTGGCTCTTTAAGATTTGGTTACTGGCAGGGTTCATCAGGGGCTACAGAGCCTTGTGACAACTCTCTTTGATCCTTGTGTTTCTTCCAAAATAATATCTGCCCTTTGATCTTCCTGTTGTTGCTATGAGCCATCCAGTCAGGACCACTCACAGTCCAGCAACTGAGTTTTCAGGCAGTTAAATCACATCGGAGATTGCTCATCTTTTTTTCACAGAGCTGCTGGTGGATTCGAACCGCATATCTTTGAGTTGGCAGCTCAGCTCCTTATCCACTAGACTATCTCCCCCAAGGGACTTAAGAGTCATAGACTTCAGACGTTAGTGGGGTGTCATTAAGCCGGGATTTGCACTCTATTTTTACCACTGTAAGTAACAGTATCCCTAGACATTCCTGCTGTCATCCCAGCTCCCCGAGTAAAGGGGACAGAAACTGCGGATTCTGTAAGCTCAGCAGAGCTTTCCAGTAGGATTTCGGTCCCTCTTGGTGTGCTTTTCCTCATTTGCGTGACCTCATTTTCTATTCCGGGGACGCAGTCTGCACACAGGGATGCGAACCTCCCAACTCGCCGCTGTGCGACGACAGCCGCTTCTCAACGTCCGTGGCTTTCTCTTCCCGCGAGAGTGAGCGGGATGAAACCCAAGAGGGACGGCGGCAGGTCCGCTGGCGCGGCTTCCGCCCCTCCCACAGCTGGGAGCCTCTAGCAAGCAGCTCGTTTTACTTTCCAGACTTTGGACTGTCCGCAAGCCCCGGCAGGCCCGCAAGCGCTCGCGGAGCGAGGCTCGAGGACCCAAGCATTTCCCGCCGCGCTAGAACCCTGGTCAAGCGGTCATGAGCACCCCGCTGAGCCGAGGCTCGATCAGCTGGCGGCGAGCGGCCAGCGTGGTGTTGGTGACCCGCTGGCCACGCCCGGGCCCCGGCGCCCCGCCGCCGCCGGCCGAGGACTTCCGCCTGCTGTTGCTACAGCGCTCCCAGCGCCAGCGCTTCCTGCCCGGCGCGCACGTCTTCCCCGGCGGCTTGCGGGAAGCGGCCGACCGCTCCGCCGACTGGCAACGTCTCTTCGCGCCGCACCACCAGCCGCCGCGCTTCGGCCTGACCCCCGCGCCGCCCCCGCGCAGCACCTTCCCGGTGCTGACCAGCCATGGGCTCGACGCCGGCGAGGCCGGGGCGCTGCCGGATGAAGTCGCCGGCCGCATCTGTGCCATCCGCGAGGCCTTCGAGGAGGTGGGCGTGCTGCTGCTGCGGCCCCGCGGCGCCGCGTGGGACTCCGGGCCCGGCTCCGAGCTCTGGCCGGAGCCCGCCTGCGCTCTGGCGCCCCCGCCCGACGTAGAGGATTGGCGCGAGCGCGTCCGCAAGGACCCGCGCCACTTCTTGACTTTCTGTGCGCACCTGGACTGCACGCCTGACATCTGGGCGCTGCACGACTGGAGCCGGTGGCTGACGCCCTTCTTGCAAGCCGGCGGCCCGCGCTTCGACGCGTCCTTCTTCTTGTGTTGCCTGCGCGAGCCCCCGTCCGCCTACCCTGACAGCCAAGAGATAATGGACTGCAAGGTGGGCTACCTAACGACAGGCCGTGAGAAACCATCAGAATTTGAGACAGAATCCTCAGATAGAGCGATCCCAGTTTTAACTTCCTTTTAGGGTCGTGGAGCCTGTAAATAAGTGAGCTCTGGTGGCCTAGTGGTAAGAAGCGACCCTACAATACCAAAGGCACGGAGTTCAAATCTACTGGCTGCTCTGAAGGACAATAATGAGTTTTCTCCCCCCTTGCCATTTACTGCCTCTGAAAACCCACTGGAGGGTTAGTTTTGTGACTTCCACAGCTCACAACAAAAACAGCGGAGTCGTTTAGCCAGTAAAGGATCTAATAGTATCGAGTTCCAGATATTCGGGACCAAAGCCATGACCTTGTGCCATATTTTGTGACTTCTGTCACTTTACAGTCATTAAGGCCTTGCGCCTGCGTCCTAAGGTGTTTCATGGGGCGAGGGCAGTCCAAATCAGAACACCCTAGCTCTGTGGAGCGTTGAGCTTAATTATTAATTCAATCCCCGCCTCACCTTCCGCTTCACCCTATAAGGAAGAGTAAAATGGCCCCATTGCTGTAAATCTTTACCAGAAAAGTTGACCACGTAACTGTTTTCTGAGTTTCTACGAATAGCCAGATGAGCACTTCCAGTGAATGGCATAGAACAATTATGGACTCCACAAGAACCAACATCTGTCTTGGAGAAAGTGCAAACAGTCCTCCTTAGAGGAAAGGATGATGACACTTCGCATGTCCTTTGAGCATATTGTCAGGAGGGTGCCAGTCCTTGGAAAAAGACCACTGCTGGGAAAGGGGGAGGGTCAGAGAAAGAAGATCCTCGGCAAGTTGGAGTGACCCAGTGATTTTAACAAAGGATTGGTGCACGTCAGAAATGGTGAGGATGGTGCAGGATAAGGCTTAGGTCTGTTCATAGAGTTGCTATGAGTTGTAGTCAGGGACATCTAACAACGACCATTTGTTGAGACATTTCAATTGGTGCTCTGTAAATTTCTCAAGCCTCATTTTTGATTAGTGCCTTCAAAGCAGCTTGCGGTTCTTCCATCAGCACCATTGGTTCTTGATCAAGTGCTACTTCTTAAAATACTTGAGTGTCTTGAACTATTCTTTATGATACAGTGACTGTGTATCTCTTACAGCTTTTTTTGATGTTTCCTGTATCAGTCAATATTTTGCCCATAGAATCCTTTAGCATTGTCCTTCAATGCATGAATTTTTCCTTCATTTCTTTCAGTTTAAGAATGACAAAGGTATTCTTTCTTTTAGGTTTTCTAATTCCAGGTATTCGCAGATTTCATTATTGTACTTTACTTTGTCTTCTTGGCCCACTCTTTGAAATCTTCAGTTCTAATTATGCCTTCCATTTGCTATAGTTTCTCTACATTCTAGATCAAGTTTCAGAGCATGTTCTTAGATTTTAGAAATTTCTTTGTTTTTAGTGACCTTTTGCTTTCTTTATATATGATGTTTCTTAGGTTACCCCACAACTTGTCATCTGGCATTAGTATTTAATGCTTCAAGCCAGTTCTTGAGATGATCTTTAAATTCAGATGGAGTGTTACTTAAGATCATAATTTGGCCTTTTTGAACATGAGCTGTTGATGGTTCTGCACTTGGCCTCTGGCCTTGGTTTGTCTGATGATATTTGAACTTCTCCTTAGTTTATTTCCATAGATGTAATCTGTTTATTCCTGTGATTTCCATCAATATTCTTTGGTTTTTTAAAAAAATATTTTGAGTGAATTGATCTTGGTAATACAAAATTCTGTCATGCAATCTCATGTCATTTCTGTCACCAACACCGTATTTTCCAACTACCAATACTTGTTTGTTTTCACTTTCCAAGCCCTATTATTTTATCACATTCCAGTCCTGATTAATAATGCATCCTGACTGCATGCTTAATCAAACATACACTTCTAACCTGTCACCTGTTTGGGATTGCCTCTTATAGTCATCAAGTTCTCTGTATGGTCATGTTAGGAGAGATCTGGAACTTATCCTGTAGTTCTATCCTCAGAAATTTTCTTTTTCAGCCAATCTTATGTGGCCTCAGCTTTCACATTTATAAGAGTGTATAGTTGGGCCTACAAGCTTGCTCTATGGAATCCAGGGCAGAACGCTTCTGTTTCAACTACTTGGGCTTGGAAGTGGCCATAAGTTCTAATGAAATACATATGGAGTAACCAATTAAAGAGAGCTTTAGGTATTAGTCCATATTCATGAAACCACATCTTTTTTACTCAGTATTTGTGGGAGGAGGCTTCGGGGAGATCACAATGCAGAAGTAAGGTCACTTGAATAAATGGGCAAATTCTGCTTGGTTGATGCCTCACAGGGTTCTTTCTCCCAGGTATGTAGGCCGAACCACACCTTTTAAACTTTATAAAAGTCCGATGGCATCTTATTCGTGCTACCTTGTGGCTGCTGAATGCCCCATAGGGATTGAGAGAACCTTATCTTGCATGGTAACATCATGTCCCACAAAGTTCCCATTTGTGGGAGCAACAAACAGAAATAAACTTCTCAACTTGCTGTCATGGTTACCCTTTCCTTACCCTTTCCTTGGGAGTGACCAACACCACGTTGGTCTATCAGTATCTCTTGTCTTTTATGCTGCATAATTTTCCTGTGTCACCTATTGGTGATTTTTTTTCCCCCTTGGGTCAGTCCAGCTTTCTTTATAAGATCTTTTCATGTTGTTTGAGAGAGAACTAGAAGGACTTGTTTATAGATTTTTATATCTTCAATTAGGTCTTAAATGCTGGATCTAACAGTCTCAAATTTCACACTGTCTGTAGATGAAACTTCCAGAAACCCTACCTTTGTTTTCCACAGTGGTTATCTCCATCAGAAGCAATGGAAAAGTTCATATCAAAAGAAATTTGGCTGGCACCCCCGCAGTTCTATGAAATGAGAAGAATCCAAAACTTTGCTTCTCTCTCCACCTTGCACAAATTTTGTTTGGATCGTGCATCGGAAGGAGCAGAAACGTGGATGCCAATCATATTAGTTACTGCTAATGGAACAGTTCAGCTTTTTCCAGGTAAGAGTGAAATCATGATTCTTTTTATTTAAATTGTCATGTACCATCAAATCAGATCCGACTGGTACAGGAGGAGATTGGCCCTCCTCCAGAGGAGCATCTGGTGGATTCAAACTGCGTGCCTTTGCGATTGCAGTGCAGCTTCTTGCTACTACGGACCATGATTCTTTTGTTATTATTCACATTTGAAGTGTATAGCAGTACTGCCCAACACAAAGACCTGAATTTCAACTTGTGTTTAATACCCAGTTAATGAAGTAAGATCTAAATCTGTAAAATATTCATGGCTTTAAAAATAACCAATAATTCTGAATAATACCACTTTGTCCACATACATAAATATGCCTTTATGCAGAAAGATTTCCAAACTATAACTAAATTCCTTCTTATAGTTTTAAAGTTTTGTGTTCATTAAAAACCTTTAAGTTGTCAACTTACTGAATTAAGAGGAGTTTGTTGGTGTCAGTTGTTAAGTGAACATGGGACAGAACGTCTGTTGTAATTTAAACAAGACTTAGTGAGGGGTCTGATTCTGTGGCTCCCGGTACTCATTCCTAAGAATAGTGATAACAGTTATTTCTCAGGCTACATGTGGACAGTTCAGCAGTTTTAAAGTGCAAGTGATAATCCATGTTGTTTAAATGAAACACTAAACATATATAGGTAGTACGGCCAATATTGATATTTATATTGAATAGGATTGAGAGTCATGAACTTGTATAAAAGTTAGAGTTCTTGATGAAAACATATTGTTGTTGTTAAGTGCTGTTGAGTCGTAGACGACTCATAGTGAACCTATGAACAAAAGACCTGAACACTTGTGCAACTTCCATTGTTTCTCCAAGTTCATAGACTTTCTAGAGGCAAGCTATTATGGAAGTGGACACCACTCTTGCTTCCAAGCTTGTTTTAATCAAGAAGCTCCACCAAACACTGTTCACCATGAGTAACCATTATCTCACTTGACACCTCAAAGTCACAGTATTCAGCTTCACAGCAACCACGAGTTACCACTGTACAGCAAATGGACTGACCAGTGCTATACCACTTAGGAGAACATTTGACCAAAACCAATTAAAACCAGGCCTGAGGGCCGCAAGTTAAAATTCCCCCACCTTTGGCTTGGCAGCATTGCTTTCTGTCCACTAGGCCAACTGAGCTCGCTCTATGTTGTTGTTGTTGTTAAGTGCTGTTAGTGACCCTATGACTCAGTCATCAATGTTTATGTTCTCAAAGAAAATACTTGGCTGAGTTGTAAGAAGTTTGGGGAGAGAAAAGATTAAAAATGCAAGAAAAAATTGAATTCATAAAATTAGAGTTATTTAACAGTTATTTCTAAACTCATGAACCAGATGAAAGTAAATATTACTTTATATGTCACTAATGGAACCGAGAAGGGTCTGAAACATTTGCTGCAAAGGGTCAAGGACTGTAATCTGGAATATGGATTGAAACTCAATATCAAGAAAATGAAGATTCTCATCACTGGGCCAGTTGGTAGCGTCATGATAGATGGAGAAGAGATTGGGATTATTAACAATTTCAGCTTGCTTGGTTCCACAATCAACAGTCTTGGTACCAGCAGTCAGGAAATCAAAAGGTGAATTGCATTAGGAAAGTCTGCTTTCAAGGGACCTCTCCAGAGTGCTAAAGAACAACAATGTCTGTCTAGAGGCTAAGATGCACATTACTTGCTATGCATCAGAGAGCTGAACAGTGACCAAAGATGTCAGAAGAAGAATTAATGCCTTTCAGTTGTGGTGCTGGAAAAAGAGTAATGAATATACCATGGACTGCCAAGGGAACTAACAGGTCTGTCCAGGAGCAGATGTCGAGGCAAGGACTTTGAAGCTCTGTCTCACACACTTTGGACATGTTGCCAAAAGAACCCAGTTCTTGGAGAAGGACATCGTGCTTGGAAAGGCTGAGGGACAGCGCAGGAGGGGAAGACCTCAGAAGAGATGAACTGACATAGTAGTTGTGGTAATGAGGGTAGATGTGTCAGAGACAGTGAGATGGGCTTAGGATAGAGCAGGATTCAGAGCCATTTTTGCATAGGGTTGCTATGAGTCATGGTCCTCTTGACACACACATAACACCATCAGCAATGATGGAAAAACTTACCTCTTGTGGCCTAGTGTGTAAGGAGTTGTGCTACCAACCCCAAAGGAGCCAGTTTGAATTTACCAGCTACTCTGAGGGAGCAGGATGGGCAATCTCCTTCCATGTAATTTGCAGCTTCTAACAAAACACTGGGGAGTCAACTATGAATTTGTTCCACCTGGATGCAATGAGTTGTTTCAACTGGAATATTTTGAAAAGGAACCCAGGTAATACAATGTGTTGCATGTGGAGCTGCTAAACTAAAGATTGCCAGTTTGACTCCACCAGGCACTCACAAGAGAAAGACGAGCAGTGTCCTCCCATAAAAATTTACAACCTTATAGACAGTGGTGGTGGTGGGGTGTGTTTGTGTGAAAGAACAGACAAGACGCAATGAGATGAGATAAAAAGCATTGGCCAATACATACAATTACATACAACACAATGTATTTAAATCTAGATTGTATAAAACCATGTACATGGATGAAGCACAATATATATGAATGATTGTACAAAAACCAATTTTAAGCAAAGAAAGAAAAATATCTGCAGCCTTGGAAACCTGATGGGTATGCTAGAATCTACCTAACAACAAAAGTATTGAAATATTTGGGAATGAAAATTATTTTCTTTTTTCAGGAGATGAACTGTACTTGGAAGATTCAGACTATGTAGAAAAGAATATGGCTACTAAGAAGACAATTGAAGAAATCATGAAGGAAAGCAAGACATTTCACCGATTAGTAATGCATGAACGCTACTTTTACAGTGTCCATGTGACTGTTCCATCTAAGTATAAACATGTTTATCCTAAAACCTTTGTAGTGAATAAGAACCGACTATAGGGTACCGCTTCTCTGGAAGAGAAGCCTCTGTGAAGTAATCCTCGTTAGTGGGGTGTAATTAAAGTTAATTTTACACCTAATGAACTTTGGGTCTTTGAAAATTATAGCACATTCTTATTTCAAGTGCATTGCCAAACTCTCTTACTTATTGTATTCTTATAGTATCACAGTGTGCCTCAACTATAAAATATTAATGACCTTATTATCAAAATAAGAAAAATATCTACAAGGTTTCTTCTTCTGTGTTGTTTTTATTATCACACAAGTTTAAATGAGATGCTCTATAGTTATTGCTATTCTTGTCCATTGTATGTGCACTGGTCCAGTGCTTAAAAAGTTAATCCATTAATTCCTCAGACTTTCTGCTGAGAGCTTTGATGGCATGCTGCATTATGTGTTGCACTGCTAACCCAAAGGTTAGTGGTTCAAATCCGCCAGGCACTCTAGAAGTGAGGCCATCTCTTCCTATAAAAATTTACAACTTTGAGAACCCAAAAGAGAAGAGTCACTGTAGGTTGCAATTGACAGCAGTGAGCTTGGATTGGTTTTAACAAATAGCAAATAGACTGAGACAAACTTCAAGCAGAAAGTCTGATTTTTCACATGATGGCTTTAGCTCTGATGATTAAATGATTTAAAAGCAAATGACATTAGTTCTTTTCAGTTCTTCAAATTGCAAGTCTATCATAATATTTTTTATTTCCCTTTTATACAATTATTTTATACATAATTCACTTTTATACAATTATCCATATACATTATTTAATTCATTGTTGTTGTCATTGCTATGTGTGAACCAATGGCAGTGTTACCTGTTGGGATGGTCTGTTTCCTTCTGGGCAGGCAGTTGTCATAGCAGCACAGAGGGTTCTGAAAGCAGTTTAGTTTTGCCAGCACCATTTATTAAAGTGTTTAATTGTTTCCCCATTTGATAAGTTTATTTCTTTGTCGAATATCAGTTGACATATATAGGCCCATTTCTGGGTTCTCAATTCTGTTCCATTGGTCTATGTGCCTGTCACTGTACCAGTACCTTGCTGTTTTACCTGTGTAGTAGGTTTTGAGGTCAGGGAGACTCCCACTTCATTTTTGTTTTTCAGAAGTGCTTTGCTTATTCTGGGTCTCTTTCCTTCCCAAATAAACTTGACAATTTCCTTTTTGATATCCTTGAAAAATGAATTTGATATCTGTATTGGATTGCATTGAACATGTAGATTGCTTTCAGAAGGATTGTCATTTTCATTATATTGAATCTTCCATGAACAGGGAATATTTTTCCATTCATTTAGGTCTTTTATTGTTTCTTGCAGAGGTATTCTGTAGTTTTCTTTGTACATGTCTTTTGGTCCCTAGTTAGGTTCATTCCCAAGTATCTCAGTTTGTGGTTGGTTGGCTAAAAAAATTGTATTGCTTTCGTTGTTTCCTTTTCTGAGTTTTCTTTGTTGCTGTAGAGGAATCCCACTGACTTTTGGATATTGATCTTGTATCCTGCCACCCCATTAAATTGGTCTACTAGCTCTAACAGTTTTCTGTATAGACTATCATATCATCTGCATATTGTTGTTGTTATGTGCCATCAAGTTGCTTGCAACTCATAGCGACCCTATGTACAACACCCTAAACCCTGCTCTATCACTTGCCAATCTTATCATCTCCGACAAGCCTATCCCCAGTGACAGAATCAATCTATCTCATCAAGGGTCTTCCTCTCCTGTGCTGCCCTCCCACACTCCCAAGCATGACGTCAGATGGAGCTTCAGAATCCTTGGAGCAGCCTGGCTTCACCCTCTCCAGGATGAACTTGTTTGTCCTCCTAGCAGTCCATGGTATATTCAATACTCTTCTCCAGTACCAAAGCTCAAAGGCATCAATTCTCCTTCTATCATCCCTAGTCATTGTCCAGCTCTCTGATGCATAGTAAGTAATTGAAAAGACAATGGCCTGTATCAGGCACACCTTAGTCTCCAGACTAACATTGTTTTTCCTCAGTACCTTAGAGAGGTCTCAGACAGCAGACTTTCCCAATGCAATTTGTCTTTTAATTTCCTGGCTGCTGATATCAAGAGTGTTGATTATAGAGCCAAGCAAACTGAAGCTGTCAACAATCTCATTCTCTTCATCTTCCATCATGATACTGCCAGTCAGCCCAGTGGTGAGAATTTCTGTTTTCTTGATGTTGAGCTTCAATCCATATTAAGACTGAAATCCTTAACCTTCTGCAGCAAGAATTTCAGGTCCTCCTCAGTTTCAGCAAGCAAGGTTGTGTCATCTGCATAACACAGAATGTTGATGAGTCTACCTCCAATCCTGATGCCACACTTCTTTGCATATAGCAACAATTTAACCAACTCTTTGGAGGCAAGGATTTTGGAGAAAAGTCATCATGCTTGGAAGGGTGGAAGGGCAGTGCAGGAGAGGAAGAGCATGGATGAGATCGACTGACACAGTAACTGCCATAATGGGGGTAGGTGTATTGGAAACAGTGAGATTGCCTCAGTAGGACAGAGTTCAGAACTATTGTGCATGGGGTCACTATGAATACCAGTCTACAGCCAGTAGAGGTGGAGCAAACCCTTTGGACCCTGTTGCACTGGGGCAGCTGGCCAGCCTAGAAGGGAACTAATTCACTTTCCATCCCAACAGGTGACACCTCCATTGATTCCTGGCCACCCCTCTGGCACCTCCCAGCCCTGCCCACAGCCAGCAGAGGCAGAGCAGACCCTTTCAGATCTTGCTGTGCTGCAAGCAGGGGAGTTAAAATCAACATTCAGGTTCCAGCCAAGACATTGCTTTTGCCTGGGAAATCCCCCTGCATTGCCAGCCCTGCACATTAACTCAAAGACTCCATCAATCACCAGCTACAGGAATACAGTCCTAGAGCAAAAGGTTTGAGGCAAAGTCTTTCCTCTTGAACTGTCAGAGTTGGGAAGAGAGTTGGGGGATCTGGCTACACGACTTCAAAGGCCAAAAAGGACAACAGACTGTAGAGAGAGCTGCAACCAGAAAATAATAAGCCATCCACCCCAGGATTGTAATTTTTTACTACATTGAGTCTTCCTGTCCACCAACAGGGACATTTTCCCATTTATTTAGGTCTTTCATTGTTTCTTGCAGAACTTAGTTGCAAGACCAGAAAGAAAAGAACAAAAGTAGTTGGCCCCTAGTCCCAGATAATTTTGCCACAGAATCACAGAGGAAGAACTACAGGCAGGGTGAATTTTCATCTCCTTTAGTACACTAGTGTATTGAGCTCCCCATCTGAAGCGAGTCTCCCCTTGAGTCCAGGGATCAGATAGAAATTAAGGCAGGGTGAGCGCCCATCCCTCCTCTGAGCAGTGAGCAAAGTCATCAGAACAAGGTCCTGCTAGGACCCCAGGCAAGACAAGACTACCACAGCAATGACATGAGAAGCAGGCTACCTCAGACCCTACACAAAACCAAAGCAAGATGCAACCCCCTAAAATTAATCAAAACACAAAATCATGGATTTCCTAAAGACCGAAAGTCTGATGGAACTTTCTGACACAATTCAAAAAACAATGATGGGAGATCTACCCTGGTTGCCAGGGAAGGCCTCAGAATACCAGATGTCTCTGGGACCTGGAGCTCATGTTTCCTGAAATTTATTTTCAAAGTGAGGTGATGGCCCTGGTCATAGCCCTTCTGATCAGGACACCTGATGTGACTGCTAAGAGTGTCTGTGGTTAATTACCTGACTGGGGTGACGCAGACCCTGGAGGCCTCCCCCAGGCTGGATTCAGAGTCCTCTGGAACCCCACCTGGTGGTCACTACCCCACAGACCCCAGAACAACAAGGGGGGGGGTCTGTCCAGGCCTCACCTGGTGCAGGACCCCTGAATCCCTGATAGGTAGGTGGCCAGTCAGGCTCTCCCAGCTAAGCCTGCCTGAGCACATCAAGGATGGAGAGGGGAGTGTGAGGCTGACCCATCTCTGCCCCCTAGAAACATGCCTGGCCCAGGCTTGCACTGGGCCATGTGACCAGTAATAACCAGGCTGGACAAAGCAGAGGGAGAGAGCCTAGGAAGAAAGGAGGCAGGCATATAGGCTGGCTCAGGAAAATAAACAAACTGGAGAAATGGGGGGGGGATCCACAACAAAACCCCAAAAGAACAATGATTTAATGTTTTCAATGGGTGAAAGATAAACTTGAAGAATTACAGATGTTTCCAAGCAAAAGCCAAAAGGAACTTATAAAAACAATAAAAAACAACACTGATAAAACAAGTGAGGCACTAGAAACTCTGGAAAAATGAGAAACTGCAATCCAGAGTATGAAGACCTATGTCTCAACCTGTTGGAGAGGCATATGAGCAAAATTGAAGAGACGGAACACAAAACCAGTGAAATAGAAGTTTTCCGCACTGATCTGCTAGAACAAAAAGAAGAATCAAAAAGGAAGAAAAAAGAAGAAAGGCTAAGAGTAATTTAGGATACTATCAAGAGGAGTAACATGCACATACTTGGAATCCCAGAACAGAAAGAAGCAAAAAAAAGGCACTGAGAGATTTGTAGAAGAAGACATTAGAAGAAAATTTTCTGGGCATAACAAAGAATGAGAGGAACGAGAAACTGAGTGAACCCTATATAGAACAGACTCCCAACAGGAAAACACCAAGGCATGTTGTAGTCAAATTTGCCAGAAACAAAGATAAGGAGAGACTTTTGAAAGCAGCTAGGGAAAATTGAATAGTAATCTACAAGGGAGAGCAAGTGAGATTAAATGCCAATTGCTCAGCATGGACCATGCGAGCAAGATGGCAGTGGAATGACATGTATCAAATACTAAAGAACACAACTGGCAACCAAGAATACTGTACATTGCCAAACTGTCCATCAAATATAATGGATAAATAAATAGTCTCAGAAAAGCAGAGATTAAAGGTGTGTGTGAAAACAAATTCATCTTTGCAGGAAATATTGAGGGAAGTCCTTCTTACAGAGATGCCACAGAAAGCAGGATGGATCAAAGTAACCAGCAA